GGGGCATCACGTCCCCGAGGTCCGTGAGGGTGCCGGCCATGGCCATGCTAGGGCCCCCGCCCCCACCGCCCAAGGCCAGGGTGGGCTCGGCTGGGGGCTCAACCTGTGACACACGCACAGAGCCGCCACTGCTTGGGGGCCACACACCTGCTGGTCGCACCTTCACGTAGTTGTTGTTGTTCGTGTTGTTGTTGTTGTTATTATTGTGGCAGACGGGCCGGTTGCTCCAGAAGGGCAAGGCCACAGTGGCCACCTGAGGCAAGGGCGGGGCAGGTGCTGTGGCGGCAGTAGCCCCTTGAAAGCCTTCCGTTCCCCCTGACGAGAGGTTTATGGGCAGGGTTGAAGAGGGCTGACCCCCTGCCCCAGGAGGTCAGGAAGGCTCCTTCTCTTGCTGTAGCACAAAGGTTGATCTGGCCCCCGCCACCCCCGCTTGGCCTGAACCTAGCAGCTTCAGGGACAAGCCACCACCTCCCCCTCCCACTGTGCCCCCTCCCGTCTTGCCTTGCACCTGTAAGTGGTTCAAGACCTGAAATGAAAGAGAAAGATATCAGTAACAAGGTAATGGATAGTGATATTAAATTTTGATAAAAAAAACCTGAAGTTCCAGTACTGCCTATGTCCTACTGACCATTAATTTCTAAGCTGGTTCTTCCCACTGCAATAATTCCCAAATATTCATATTTCATTAACTGCATATTTGGCCTTTGGAGCTTGGAGAGAGTGATTTTACACATTAGAATAAGCTTTTTCATAAAGATATATTGCTATGCTGCATAGCACCAAATAGTAGTGACGAGGAGGCTGAGAAAATTGATTGTACCTTAATTTTTCCTTCACACATCAGACCTCCATCTCTGTGTTGATGTTATCATAAAAATGTAAGGAAATGGGAGAAAGATAGAGAGAAGAGAGGACTGATGAATCTGGCAGAGTTCAAAGATAGGGGTGCACTCCTGGCAATCTCTAATAATCTCTAATAAGAACAGGGCCCAGCTAGCTCCAGAGGACCAATACACCAAGCTACTTTGACATACTGCCAGATCTTTGTGTCTTTGTGACTGTGATGCTCCCTATTTCAGGAAAGAAAAAACTGGCAATTCACCCTAGACTTTGGGGTATTTATATATGTTTGTATTATATATGTGTATATAAAGCATGAAGACACCATGAAGCATGAAAAAGGGCTATCAACCCTAATTGGCCATCTCCATCTCTATCCCCTCACATCCCCCTAAAAAAAAGAACATGTCTTCCTTCCTTCAGCCTACCTGATGTACTTGTCGCAGGGTCAAGCCCGGGGTTCCTCCTCCACCTGGCACCGCAGAAGTCAAGTAGGTAACCTGACCTGGGGCCAGACCGGCTGTGCTGCCAGGCGCTACACCGCCACCAACAGTACTGCTCCCACCACCACCTACGCCACCAACAGCACCACCGGAACCAACTGTGTTTGTTATGCCACTGCCACTCACTGGAAGGGAACAGAACCATCAATTAAGATATCCAAACATGTATTAATTGTGTCTGAAAAAAAAGGTTAAAAAATAATAATAATAATAATGTTAAAGAATCAAGATATTTCCCTGAAGTACTCATCACAATGCAATCACCCAAAGATGATGCCCTATCATATTATAATAAACTAAAAACCTCTTTTTGCCATCATTACCCAAATAATTATTTAAGCCGCAGTCAAGAGCACAGAAAGCAGAGTAACTAAGTTTCTTGTACTTCTGATTTTTCTTTCTAGTAGCCAAGTGTGTACACACCCTAACACAAGGTTTGGTATGGTGCTGGAGACTCCCATTATGTGTGAATTGGTACACATTCCAGAACATTCATTATGTATTCAAATATTCATTAACATTAACACTCAAACAAAAGCTTACTAGATATTACAGAAGTACTGCTTAACAGTTAACACTTTCAATGAAAAATGATAGTTCCAAAATTCAGCATTCCGACATTAAGAACATGAGGCACATAAACTTTCCAGGAAAATACCTAAAGATACATATATCTTTCGTGCCATTAAATTTCTTGTTACAAACTCTTTGGTCTTACTGAAAGAATATAACTCGAAATACCAGAACAATTATAAACAGTTATCAAATATCATGGTATGGATGCTCTAGTAACATAATGCAGAACCAATAAGCAAGAAAAGAAACATATAGCGTCTATTAACATCTATGTCTTGGTCAAGAATATTTCCAGCTTGGGTACCCTGTTACATATACTTGAACATATCAAGAATCTTAGCTTCCAAAGATGAAATTGGCTAAAGTGTATTGCATAAATAATATATATAAGTACAAATTACAATGATATGGATACAGTATAGCACAGTAATTAAATTCAAGGGGCTTACAAAGATTCAATTATCAATCCACTCACTCAGGAACTGCCCACTACCATATGAGCTCTCCATCAAATATAAATAATACTCTATATTCCTTCCTATTATCACTTTTCTTCCTCCTTTCTTTTTCTACAACTTGGTTTGACATTCTTTAAAGTAACAGGTTCCTGATTAAGGTCATAATTATTATCATATCTCAGAAAAAGAGAAACTTGCAAAATTCTTGAGCTTTGTTAATCCCTACGATTCGGATGAGGCTGGAGTGATGGGAAATTGCCACTAAGAGAATTTCGGTTAAAAGCCAGGCTGACGCAAATGATTCACCAAGAGTACACAAAGCTCTTGGGTGATGACTCATTTGGCATTTAGGAAGGGCCTTTGCATTATTTCCATTGATAAACAAGTGTGGAATGTATATCTGGAAGAATGCCTGCTCCATGGAGGACACTATTTCCATGCTCAGTTATACAGAAAAGTTATACAGAAAAGGAGAATAAAACATTGCAAAGGGGAGGCATGGAGTCTTGTCACTGTGCAAGAGTTTGTGTGTTGCTGGCCTAAAAGCCACAAACCAATCAGAGTGGTCACTCAAGTATAGCCTAATGTCCTAATTTTGGGCCACGTGCTGGCAGCAAAGTACCCATATTCAAAGCAGCTGTAAAATAATAGCAGTTTTTTAAAGGAAACATCAACTTAATGCTTCCAACCTAGCCAAAATGCTGAAAGAACAAAATTCTGGGGTGTTCATGAAAATTGTTGTCCATGTCATGTATAGGCAACTGTGGCACTTGTTTTATGGCCATACATGTACCTATACAGTCCTTGTTTGTGGCTTTGATTAGAAGATTAGAGGGAGAGGGAAAGAAAAGAGGGAAAATGGAGGGAAAACAAAAGAAAGGAGTGGAGGGATGAGGAAAACAAAGGAGTGGAAGGAGAGAAAAAAAGTGGGAAAAGAAGAAAAAAAAGTAGTGGAGGAAGAGATAGATGAAGGCAAAGATAGGAGAGTGGAAAAAAGAGAGAAGGAAAACGAGAAAAGATGAGAGAGAGGGAAGAGAGAGAACTGAAAAACAAGAAAGGAGAGAGAATGAAGAGAGAGAACTGAAAAAACAAGAAAGGAGAGAGAAAAAAAGACAAGGGGAAGGCAGAGAAAAGAAAAGAAAAGAGTGAGAGAGAGAGAGAGAAAGAAAAGTAGATAAGGAAGGGTGAGTAAAGAAAGGAGAAAAAGAGAATAAAGAAAGGAAAGGAAGTAAAGGGACAAATGATTGAAATGAGAAAGGGTGAGAAAATGAGCAGAGGGAACAAAGGGAGAGGAGGAAGAGTGGAGGAAGAGAGGGGGGGGAGAGA